CCATCCCTTTGCAGATCCAGTTGACTCCTGGGAAAATACAAACAGAAGAGGCTACCAGGGGGTCTCCATGAGTCATCTCTCTCCACAGGACAAGCTGCAGCGCAAAGGGGAGCCCTACAGCCCTTGCACGATGAATGGCTCCGATGTTGCCATTCAGAACCTCTACAGTGACTACAACACCACGTACTCAATCCAGGTGGGAAGACTGTGTAGGCTTGGCGACCATAGGGACCTTAGCTTTCTGAGAGAGCTAGGCTGGCTCTGCCAAATCTTTATTTCTCACTTACTTACTTATTTGAGACAGGGTTACCCTGTGTAGCCCAGGCTGGCCTGAAATTCACAATCCTCCTTCCTCAGCCTTTTCAGTAGTGGGATTACAGGAACACAGCACCAGGCAGACCTGGCTAGATCTTTGTAAGTAGCACAGGGGACCATGGTGCTACAAAGACAAGGACTCTGGCTTCCGACCCAGGACCCAGAGCTAGCCACTCTTACATCCCCTTGGCAGGTGCCCCTGGGAGAACTGTCATTGTGTGTGAGATTCAATGCTAGGGATATACATGCATTTCCTCATTTGATCTCTTTAGCCCCTCTATGATCTCAATATGCCAACAGCAGTGGCATTTATGGATGTATTAACTGCAGCAGGTTGGCCAGGTGCTCGGCAATTCACGTGTTACATCCCAGAGGCACCCCTAGGATACACATGTAGGAATGAGGAAAACTGGGTTTGACAGACCCTGAACTGAATGCCTCACCAATTAACCTGAGAAAGCCCCTCTTAGGTAGCTGCCCTCAAGCTTCCTTGCTGTAGCTGGGAGCTTTCCTCTTATCCTGATCTCTGAGGTCAGCCTGCAACCTTCCCTCTGTAGCCTTGAGAGGAGAGAACACGTCTTGCATAAAGAACAAAATGATAGCTTGATGACTCCCCCCTGCCCCAGCTCAACCTGCCTGGGGAGATGAGGAAACACGGGCAAGCAAAGGGTGCTTGCCTCCATGTCTGGGAGCCCTGAGTTTAGCATTACACTCCCCACAAGGGCTGGCTTGGCCACTTCCTGTCTGATGGGCTTCTGTCTGCCATGAAGAACTCTGGCATCTCTGGAGTTTCCAGAGGGATGGACAGACAGACAGTGCAGCACAGGGAGGCAGGGCATATGGAAAAGGAGGACTAGCTACATTCCTGGGAAATGTCAGTGCCTGCTCCTTCCAGGGCAAGAGCAGAAATCTAGACCCTGTCAGAAGTTCTGCCTCCTGCCTACTTCCTACCAGAGCTGCCTGGAAAAAAGGACACCTTTTTTCCAGATGAGGGACTGAGGTCTGTGTGAGACACTCACTAGAGCCACTTCCTACCAGAGCTGCCTGGAAAAAAGGACACCTCTTTTCCAGATGAGGGACTGAGGTCTGTGTGAGACACTCACTAGAGCCACTCTAAGCTCCTCTGACCCCTGCTGTCTTCTCTTGACCACACCCTGAATGGGATAGCCAGCCCCATCTCCTGCCAGTGGGAATCTCAGTGGTCCCTCTGGGAGAAGTCAGATGCATTGATCTGGAGGAGAGGGGGCAGGCCAGGAGGGAAGTAGGGAGTTGGCAGAGGCATGAGGAATGGGTTGGAGGTAGGAGGCTGTAGTAGCCAACACTCAGGGCAGGCACAGGAGGGCAGGAGCGGGCATAATAATTGCTTACCAAGCGCCTGATGCCCTGCTGAGTCCTCCAACCTTGGAAGGTAGGTGTGACTAGTTTCCTGTTCCTCCATGAGTAAACTGAGGCTTGCAAGTTAATCACTTGCTTCAGGACACATAGCTGGTCTGTGAGTAGACTGGAACCAGGTCAAAATGACCTAAACACCATGGACACTGAGGCCTTGAAAGTGTCCTCACTACATCCAGTTATCAGGGCTGGGGACTCTTGTGTCCCCTCTACTCCACCTCCCTTCAGCTCTGATCCATTAAAGATCACCCCTATGCCTCCCTAGGTCATCCTACTCTCACTGCCCACCCCCATAAGAAAGCAGATCTGAGCCAGCTTGCCTGCTGTCTTTCTGGGTGTCTGTGTGTATGGACCTCAGAAGGGTGTTGGCACTTCACTGGAGGAGCTATTAGCATGTTTATTTGAGGCAGGCCACCCCTGCCCATACCATCTACAGGACTAGCTTTGGGTGGAGAGACTGGAGCTCCTGGGTCGGAGTCCCTGTGCCAGCCCAATAAGCTGCTGTGGGGTCCAATGTGCAAGAACAACTGTGACCCTGACTGCAGACACTGTAGCTGTGGCTTTGCCTATTCACCAACAGGCTCTTAACCAAAAGACCACACCTCCTGATCCCCAGTAGTCCCTAGTACCCTGGCAGTAACTTCTCTGGGCTCCTTTCTGGTACTGGAGTGATACCATCCTACCATGCCTGAGATCTGTTCTGCACCCTCCAGGCCTGTCTTCATTCCTGTTTCCAAGACCACATGATCCATAACTGCAGCTGCGGCCACTATTTGTACCCACTGCCTGCTGGGGAGAAATACTGCAACAACAGGGACTTCCCGGACTGGGGTGAGTGTAGCATAGGAAAACTGACAACCGTGAGGAGAAGCCCATCACTAACTAGGGCTCGCCCAGCCCACAACATCTCCCAGACCCCCTTCCAGAAGAACTGTCCTTCTCCCCATCTCGATTCTGTAAAGTACATGCTTGAGACACATAGGTGTAGGATGAACTGTCCCTCCAGGCACGTGTGTGCTGTGTACATCCCTGTACACACATGAGCCCGGGAATGCGGCTGCTGGAGAGTGTGCAGTATGTATATATTCATTTTCAGATGCATATAGGAAAGGCATGCAAAGAACACTGTGTCACTGCAGGACCTGTGTGTGCTCATGAGCAGGCACCTTGCTTCCAGTGTTTGCATGTGTGTATGTACACATGAAGCCATGAAGCCATCCTCTCAGCATGTGCATCCATGCATGAAGGGGGCTGGGATGGAGGGGGACACTTAAGAAGTTGCTGTTGTGATGCTGGCTTCCAAACCCTTGGAACAAATCCTCAGTGGGTTCCCACATGAATGGAGCCTGAGACTGAGGACCCTGGGGGATTGGAGTCAGTCCAGGGATGCAATTAGTAGTCACGGGTCCTACCACCATTACAATATACAAATGAGGAAAACATACATCTGTCTGTTTGTTTGGTTGGTTGGTTTTGGTTGCTCATCCTTCTGTACAGGACCCCAGAAGCCATCTTCTAGGTAAGGATGAGGAGGGACACAGAAGACACTCAGACCTGCTGAGCTGCATCTAGGATATTTAGGGACAGGACCCCAGGCTGGGCTGGGACAAGAGGGCCAGGGTGTGGGGATGGGTGTGGGGCAATGATCTTAGTGATGGGGACTTGGATGGCGTCTCCCTTAGGTGATCTAGGAGGAGAGCAGAGGCTCGCTAGGGGAGGGAGGACCCCCGGAAGCAGCCCTCATGGCTCCTGACCACCTCCCTCTCTCCCATAAAGCCTACTGCTACCTAAACCTACAGATGAGTGTGGCCCAGAGGGAGACCTGCCTCAGCATGTGCAAGGAGTCCTGCAAGTGAGTGTGACACAGGGGACCTGCAGGTGCTGGTGAGGAGGGCACAGGGCTGTCGGGAGAGCAACAGAGCTGGCTTCTCTATTCCAGTGACACCCAGTATAAGATGACCATCTCCATGGCTGACTGGCCTTCTGAGGCCTCTGAGGTAAGACGGCGGAAAGTCAAGCTCCTGTTCTCCTCTGTCTCTGGGTTGAGAACAAGTCTGGGACTTTAGAGTCTTCCCTCTCTCCTCCTCCACCTTTCTTTCCCTCCCCCTCTATCAATTTTCTACATCCCTTCCTCCCTCTCTGTCCCCCTTTCTTCTCATCCTTCCCTCCCTTCCTTCTTCCCACTCCACCCATACTCTCCCAGGCACTATGCCAGGGACAGGCATAGTCTTCCATTTACCAAGTCTGCAGCCCAGTCAGAGAGACATACACATAGAAAGATCATTTCAAAGTCATGGCTGTGAGGGACAGAGACAAGGGAAGTGAACAGCAAGGGAAAGCGCTTAGACGGCAGGTCAGGGAAGGCCTCTCTATGGAGGTGCATGAGAGCCATAGCCAGGGGCAGAGCTGGCCCATGCAGGGCAGGGAGGATTCTGAGCAGAAAGGACAGCAAGTGCTATGGCCAGAGATGGGAATGAGGCTGAGACAATACCCGCCTGGGAACAAGACATCTAGAGAGTTGAGCTCCTCCCTCTGACAACTGCCAGGCTTCTGTGAGAGTTCCTCTGTTCCCAACCCAAGGCTCAGACTTCTGGAAGGTGCAGGGGTGCTGTCTGCCCAGATCCTGGGCAACAGGGTCTATGTCTCGTGTGTGTGTGTGTGTGTGTGTGTGTGTGTGTGTGTGTGTGTGTGTGTGTGTGTGTGTCT